TAAATAATTAAACTGCCCTGTCAGTAGACAGATTTCACCAGTGTGTTCTCCAAGTGATGAGCTTACAGGGAGAAAGTCCCTGGCCAGAGGCTGTATGCGACGGTCCCCCATGGCAATTGTATTTATTTCTATGAATGAATAAATTGGCATTTGGTTTATTTGTTTCTCTTGCAAACATCAGAGGTCAGCCCTGACAGGCCCGGATATTTAGGACCAGCAAGGACCACACCCTGGGTCTGGTGAATTCACTACTAAGACTAGTTAGAACAAACATTTACAGAAAAACATAACAGTGGCAGAATTTGGATTATGGAATGATAAGAGAATTGTTTCCATCTGTTATCTAAAATGTTTATAATTTGCTTTATTATTTTTTGAAGTATAGAAAGATCTTGAAAAGACAACTCCTAACCCATCTTCCAAGGTCAGTTCAAATGTTGGCCATGACACTACCCTGAGTTGCTTCGACTTCCCTCCCCCTGCTCATCATTCTTTGAATTAGCATTTACTTGGCCTCTGCTGTTACCAGACCCTGTGCTGGCAAGGAGAAATCAAATGAAAGAGTCAGGGAGAGCCCTGCTTCAGAATCCTCTTTATGGCCAGGGAGTTGCCCTGTTCAGAAGCAATTCCTTGGTGAGCCACTTCAACTGAGGCTAAGGGGCACTTCTATCCACCCCACTCCAGAGGCAGGGCAAAGACAAGATTTCTGGCTCATCTATGAGTTGGGGTAGAGAGAAGGAAGGTGAGGGAAGAGAAGGGTGGACACACCCGAAGGTGACCCCCAATGATCCACACCTTTGGGCAAGCCCCCTCCTGGAGTGTGGGTAGGAGCAGTGACTTGGCTGTAACTAACAGAACATGGCAAATGCGATGGGGTGTCACTCCCATGGTTACAGGAGACTTATCTTAGGAGACTGGGCAGTAAGGGATCCTGCCTTGACAAGCTGGGAATTGCGTTTAGAGAAGGCCCTAAGGCCTGTGGGGAGCCTCCAGCCTGAGGGTGGCCCTAAACCATCAGCAAAATAAGCCAGAAAGAAAAAGAAAAATACTGGATGGTCTCACTCATAGCAGGAATCTAGAAAACCTAAATAAGGGACCAGGAAAAAGACTAATTATAATAAAGTAAAAAATCAAAATCAACAAGCAACTATAAACCAGAGACACACTGTGGGGGGGAGGGGAGATGGGAAGAAGGGATTAGGGTCAAAATAAGAAAGGGTGAGAATTATATGGGGAATATAACCAAGATGAAAATGCATACATTGTGCAAAAATGAAAAATGATATATAAAAATATATATAATTAAATAAAATTTAAAAAAAATAAAGAAACAAACCCAAACCCCTGCTTGGGCCCCTTGGTGGTTCTGGTTCAATAAGCCTGGATGAGGCCCAGTGTCTGAGTTTTTCAAAGCACCTTTGGCGATTTGCTTTGCCTGAGTGACAATCCCCACACCAAAGTGGTTGCTTCATGAGGGTAGGGATGCCCAGCACTGGCCAGGAGCAAGAGTACAGAGAGCTGTGGGGGGTGGATGGGTGGATGGATGGATAGATGGGTAGATGGGTGGGTGGGTGGTTGAATGGATGGATGGATAGATGGATGGGCAGTTGGATGGATTATAGATCAGTTTGAAGCTAGAGAAAAGAAGGTTCAGGATGGAGAAGGGGGTGCTTAGAAATGTGTCATTTTTTCCCCATAAAGTTTTAATTTTCTCTCTGAGTAGGAACATTTTAAAACACTTCCACTTTCAGTGACACATTTGCTCTTACCAGCCCAAGCTGTATAATAAGTAAAGTGTATAAACACATACTGTTTTTGTTTTTTTTTTCAATTTAATACCACATTCCATTTCCAGCCAGGAGAAAGCACTTCAGTCTGCTGGCAGAGACCAGGCCTTTGAGAGGCCGGACTCAGAGGCTGGACAAGCCCTTCATCACCAGGTTGCCTAGGAAGGCACCAGGGCAAGGGTGCCTTTCCTAAGCCACACGGAAATGTGTGGTGGAGGCAGGTCTAGAATCCTGACTAGGATTTTCTTTTCTTTTCTTTTTTTTTTTTTAGTTAAATGACTTGCCCCAGGTCACACAGCGAGGCAATGGCAGGGCTAGAATTGCAGCTCAGGTCTGTCTGACTCCAGGGTCCACACAAGGGCCTCTGCCCTCGAGCTATTTCTATTCTGCATACCAAGGTGACCCCCAGGCAGTAAGAACTGTCGGGGCAGCCAAAGAGGCTAAAACTGCCTGTGCAGTCTCCATCAACACACTGATCTAGCTGTTGTGCAGTTGTCAATTTACCCCTCAGTCTCCCTCGCACCCTGTGAGTGCCACAGGAACTGAACTTCATTCATCTCTATATCTGCAGTGCCAATTCAGGATCAACTACCCAGAAAGCACAGCGCATGGCTGTGGAGATAATGGCTTTATCCACTTGACAAGTCCTGATGAGTCCCTGCCTACCGTGAGCTGGGCACTCAACAGTCTATTGTCTCTGCCTTCACAGAGTTTGCAGTACAGTGGAGGATAAACAAGTCAGCAATTGAAAACAGAAAAGCAATGCCAAATACGTGCTGCTGCGCAGGACAAGAACAGGGTGAGGCAGAGGGAAGGCAGCGGTGAAGGGGAACAGGTGGGGAGGGCCTTTGTAAGGAGGTCACAGGTAAGTTGAGGTCTAATGGGACAGGAGGAAGAAGAGGTGTAAAGTGTTGGGGAAGCGAGTTCCAGGCAGCAGAGAGTGATGTGTGATGACCTTGAGATGACGAGGATCTGGTCTGCTTAGGGAATGGAAAGGCCAGGGAGCTCAAGTGAGTGTGGTGTGAGACCAGGTGGGTGGAGGCAGGGCAGGAAGCTAGACCAGGCTAAGGAGTGCGGGCTTATTCTCAATGCCATGGAACCATAGAGGGGTTTTAAGAAAATGAATGGCAAGTCCCAATCAACTTTGATGAGATTCTTTTAGCCACTGGGTAGAGAATAGATGGGGTGGAACTAAAGTAAGGAGAACTGGGAGGTTACTGTGGCTTCTGGACTTGTGTGGTGGGGATGAGGTTGGGTTCTTATTTAGAAGGAATGTATTCATTCATTCATTCAGCTGGAGCTGCTAATGAACTAGTGGTGGGGGAAAAGAGAGTAAGGAAGGGGAGGCTTAAATAATTGGGTAGATGGAGCAGCTGTTTAATGACAACAAAAACAGGAAAAGGAACTTCCAGTGGCCTGGGTCAAATTTCAAGCTGGTTATGCTAAATTTGAAATGCTTCTGAAACCTCAAGTGGAGATGTCAGTTGCCTGAGAGAGCTCAGGGGAGAGGCCTGGGAGGGAGATCTGGGTTTGGAAGTGCTGTGCTGGTAGGTGTACATGCAAGCCCTGAGGTTCCCCTAGAAAGGGCCTGAGAAATGGCAACATTTAGAGATTGAATAGGAAAAAGAAACTGGGCTGGAGGGCAGAGCAGGCAAAAGCCCAGGAAAGTGCAAGATCAGAGAGAAGGGTATTTCAAGAGGGAAAGAGTGATCAAGTGCATCAGCTGCTTTGGAGGGATCGGCAGAACAAGCACTAAGAGTAGTACTCTTTGAGTTTAGCAACACGGAGACCATTCACCATCCCAGTGAATGACTCAAAGGCTGCAAGAAGAGACTACCAGAGTGGGTTGATGAGGCAGGGAATGATTCTGGAGGGAGGTTGCATTTCAGCAGAGCTTTGAAGGCTGAATCCTGAGAGATCTAAATGCTGCCTACAAGAAGCTGAACTGTACTATTAATTGGCATCTGGGTCTGGGCAGAACTATCTCCACTGCATTAGAGGGAAGGGCAAAAGGAGCTGGCTTGCTCCTCTGCAGCAAGGAGGACAGGGAGGCTGATGACCTGTTTCCAGGGGACAGAACCCGTTCATGTCCTCCAGGACTCAGAAGCTTGGCTACATAACTTGCTGCTGAGAAGTCCTGGGAGGTGAGGATTCCAAACCCATGACCTCAGAGCAAAGGGCTCTTAGACACCATCCAGAGCAGCCAGGTCATGACACATCCAGAACATGTGAGACCTAGAGAAGGGGCAGATCTTGCCCAAGGTCACCCAGTACAATCCTGACCAAGTGATCTCAGGCGATTCCTTGTGGCCCTCGCCCCAGTGGATATTGAAGGTTAAGAGTTCAGAATCTGGGCCTCCCTGGTGGTGTAAGGGGTTAAGACGCAACCTATGAAGCTGTCAGTGGCCACTGCAGCACGAGTTCGATCCCCAGCCAGGGAGGAGACCCACATGACGCAGCAGACTCTCCTGGCTCGCCTGCTGCTCTCCTCAGTAGTGTATTTCGGTCAATCTGCCTAGTCTGTTCTCCATTCTGTCTCTGGTGAATCCTCTCACCCTTCACACCTCTGGCCTGTATCCCAGTTGTTGTATGCATAAATAAATAAAATCTTTAAAAAAAAAAGAATATAAAAGGAAGTATGAAAAAAAAAAGTGTCCAGAATCCTCCATCATTGTCTTCCACCAGCCCTCCCTCACGCCTTATGATCCAGCCCTCTGAACGTTTAACATATGCAAAAATGTACCCTCTTATAGAGTTCACAACAGCTCTGGAGTAGGTGTTGTTATTCCTGTTTTATAGATGAGGAAAATGAGGCTCAGCAAGTTTGATAAACTGTTCATTGATACAAAGCCTGTACAGTACACCGCTGACCAGGATTCAGCTCATCAGTGTCTCTGAAGTCAACTTACCTGCATTCACCAGTCAGAGCTCCCTCCTATAGGAAGCAATCCCTGAACTCCCTGGTCCCCAGCTAACCTGGAGTCAGGTCATGTCCTATGACTGAAAGTCACTCGTTCCAGCCACTAAAAAGTCCACTGGATGTGACTAAAATACCTGGAGCCACAGCCTACTGCCCAGGAAGACCCCACAATCCCACTGCTCTCAGTCCTGCAGCTGCAGCCCAGCACCCACAGCAGGAGCAAGGACACCTACAGAAGCTGAGCAAAATGCTCTTTCCCCCTTGGCCCTTCAGCCACACACCCAGCTCCTCACCTGGAGACCACCAGTGGCAGGATCAGCATCTTCAACATCCTCATCAAAAGCTCTCCAGGAAACTGGAAGTAACTAATTTCCTGAAAACACAGAGAGAGCAGGTGTTATAGCAGGCAGCGCAGCCTCACAGTTGCACAGTTCTTGACAATCTTCAAAGCTCCATTCCATTCACACTCTTCTGTCCAGCACAGGGCAGCAGAGAACATAGAGAAAGTTCTTTGGAGTCCTGGATTCCAATCTTGGCACCTCCCTCCTGCCCAAGTAACTGTGTGGATTTAAACAAGTTACTTGACCTCTCTGAGTTTTTCTCATCTGTAAATAAGGATAAAAAACACTTTGTAGGGTTATTGGGAATGTTAAATTAGAGAAAGCACTTAGCAGAATTCCTGGATTAAAGTAAATGTTCATAAAGTAAATGTTCAGTAATCACACTAAATAACAGCTCCCCTCCCCTCACACCATTCACCCAACGCTCTGTGGTGTCCATCTGTCTGAAGTAGCAAATGGTAAGAGGTTCTCTGGGGCAGCTGTGTACTGTTCACACACTCATTCAATCCCACTGGTGCCAGGTGTCACATTGGGCACCAAAAAATGAATTAGGCATGGTTCCTGCCCCAGAGAAGTTCAGGAGACTGACTTATAGGCAGACCATGGATTCTTGAGTCAGTTTCCCTTTGGTATTGGGTCCACTCTCGTACCCTCCCCTCCTACCACCACTTTTCATCAACTTCCCAGTGTGTCTCCCATTTAAAATGCCGAGAGAGGGCCTCCCTAATGGCACAAGGGGTTGAGCACAGTACTATGAAGCTATCCACAGCCTTGCTGTAGGAGTTAGATCCCCTGCTGGCCAGGGAGCTACCCACATGGCGCAGCAGACCTCTCCTGTCTCTCCCGCTGCTCCCCTCAGCAGTATATTTCAATCAATCTGCCTGTTCTGCTCCCCACTCTGTCTCTGTTGAATCCTCTCACCCTTTGCACCTCTGGCCTGTACTCCAGCTCTTATATGCGTAAATAAATCTTTAAAAAAATAAAATGCTGAGAGAAAAATTGGGTTGGGTTGGTGACATACCGCTCGCTACAAAGAGTCCCTACTGAGCAGGGATCTCCATCCAGTCTCCTCACAGGCTGCTGGTTCTAGCCTATAGATGGGTCTGGGTTAGGGTGCCACAACCTTACCCAAACAGCTGTCCCTAGGGTAACCACTCACATGATCAGAACCTGTTACAAAGGGGACCACTAAGCCCAGTGAAGTTTGGATTTCAGGTAAACAACAAATACTAAAAAGTATATTTTTTGTTTATCTGAAATTAAAATTTAACTGGTGTTTCTGTTTTTTTGTTTTGTAATTTAATGTAATTAAATGTTGCTATTTCTGGTCTTCTTGGCTTGAGGTCACTTTGCTCCAGGGTAGGATTGTGGATGAGGTTCGTACAGGGACTGTCAAACACCATCCAAGTTAAAATTTTGTAGTTGCAACATTTTAAAAAATCAAAGCCAAACATAACACTTGGTTAATGGTGTCATGCTTTGAAAAGCCCCAAATCATAGAATTTTGATACTGAGAAGGGGTTTTTAAGGTCTTTTAAAGGTCTTTTAGTCCACTGACTCATTTTATAGATGAGGAAGCTGAGCCAGGGAAGGAAGGTGACTTGCTCACGGAGTGAGTTAGCAACAACTCAGAAAATCTACTTGAAAAATATATACCCATCATGGCTATGTATTTTTAAATAATTTTAATTTAATTATATAAATAGCACTATAATGATAAAAAAGACAGCACCCCCTCTCACCCAGCTAATCCCCACTCTCAGGAATGAAAATCTTCAGTTCCTTAGCGGATTCTCTGAGTATGGCTATCACTGAGTAATATGACAGTAGTAATACTGCTCTCTTTTGGATATCTATTAACTTCCCTATAACCATGATAAATAAGGATTTAGTTCCTGGTCCCTTTATTCTCCTCCTATTTCACCATTATATTTATATATATATATTTATATAATTTATATAATTATATAAATATATAATTATATAAAATATATATTATATAAAATATATAATTATATAAAATATATAAATATATTTATATATATTTATATATATACCAATTATTGGTTAAATTAATAATCCAGGTCTACAATATTTTGATCATATAATAGTATTCAGTTTTGAGCCAAGGAATATGCTATAACCAGAGCTCCTTTCTCATGCAACCTTCCTCTTATCCCTGAAGTTAATAATTCACTGATTTTTCATCTGCTTTGTTTTCTGTGAACCACTGATAAATTTCTTCAAAATGCTTTCACGTCTCTTTAAACGCCTAACAATAGCATTTTCTATACACCCAAGCACAGCAGCTCCCCTGTATCTCCCCTAACATTGGCCCAAGAACTGTCCATCTTCCCATTTGTAGGGAAAATGGAGTGGCTCGTCGCCTTCCCACCGCTAGCCTCTATGACTGCCACCTGTGTCCTTGTTTGCCTCCCAGGCTTCCTTACCCACACGTGATAACGTGCAAAAAACACTTGGGAGTGCAAGCACGGGGCACACGCATCTATAAATTCTGACCCGGGGCCGAGGGGTGGGGGCACAGGACACGTGCACCTGTGATTAGGGACACCGGGGCAAGTAGCCTAGCTACCTATAACCTTGCAGAGATCATTAAAGAGAGAAGCAGGGAGAGACTTGAAATCGAGGGGCTGGGAGGCTCCGTTGCTGCCTGCCTCAACCTCCCTGCCTGCTGTGAGGGGTGCCTGGGACGCTGGCCCCTGCACCTTTCCAGTTTGCTCTCTAAGCTCAGGGGTGCTTTCTTTACTCTCACTCTCAGACTTTGTTCTGTATAGGATCCCCTCTTTCCTGGATCCCTTCTCTTGGTTTACTTCCTTTTTTTCGGGAGAACATCTATGGTAGCCCCCTCAGTAAGTGTGGATAGAGGAGAAACTTCTGAATCCTTACCTGAGTAAAAAAAAATGCCTTTATTCTCCCCTTGCCTCTGATAATAGTGTGTTTATATACAAGATTTTTAAATTAAAAGAATTTCCCCTCTAAATTTCAAAGGCATTTCCCCTTTCTTTTCTGCATTCCAATGTTGCTTAAGATGCTTGGAGTCATTCTTACTTTCTGTTCTTTTCATGAGAACATTTTATTCAGACCATTTAAAGATCATCTGTTATCTCCAGTATTCTATAAATTTCATGGTGATGTACATGTGTGCAAGTTTCACTTCAAAAAAATTCACAGTGCTGTGGATGCTTTTTGCTTCTAAGAAACTTTCTTGTATCCTGTGGAATTTGTCTCCATTTTTTTCTGCCAGTCCTTTCAAAAACTCTTAAGAAGTCAGATGTTGAATATTCTGATTTTCTACTCTTATTTTCTGCAACTTTTTGCCAGCTTTTGACATTTTTATCTTGCCTCATCTATGTTAAGTTCCTAAAGCTCTTCCTTGTTCTCAGAGTGTTCCTTTCTTGCATCCCATTCTATTTCATGGTTGTAGGGTAAAGAAAATATCAGGCATTTCTGCCCTTTTGCCATCAGGATAGATGATGGATCCTTGTCCTGAATGCATGCCTGATGGCGGGCACCTGGAGTAGGGTGTGGGCATAGGTAGATGGGATTCAGTTGAGCTAAGACTGTGCTTTTAAGGGCGGCGTCACGGGGACACCAGCAGCAGCAGTAGAAGCCGAAAAAGAAGAGAAGCAGCAGCAGAAGCCGAAGCCGAAAGAGAAGCCCAGAAGCAGCAGAACGAACGCCAGAGAGCCCAGATAGAGTGAAGACTTGCTGGGGGCTGGGAGGCTGGTAGGCCAGCACCCCTACCTGCCATATATGCCTGGTGAACCCCAATAAAAGACCTGCAAAAAACCACTGAGGACTCTGACTCCTCCTTTACCCGGTCTGCAAGGGATCAGAAAACCTGCTCTGTGCCCTGTTCCTGCTTTACAATGGTCATTATCTTTTCTCATATCTCCAAGGCCCTTGAGACCTAAAAAAAAGTTTTCTTCTCCCTTCCCTGCATCTGCTTCATCAGATAGCCTCTTTTCTGTTTTGTTTTTTTTTTAAATCTGTTTTTCACATTAAAAGCTTTCCTCAAGTTTGTGGTGACCTTGGCTTTCTGCTCATATTTAAGTGTGAAGCCTGATGGGACTTGTCAGCAGATGGCCCCTCAGGGAAGGGTGAGGGGTGGTGACCTGGCTTTTTCATTGGGGGCTGATGGATTGGGGGAGAAATTGCCTTGATAGAATTTGGACTCTTTCTCTGAGGTTTCAATAAGAAAAGTCTCCTCCTCAGGCTGGCAGTAGGGCTGTGCCTAAGGCAGCTGCCAGCAACCTTAAGGCCCGCACTCAGAATGCAAATGTCCGCTAGTTTGCCTTACAACTGCCTTCCCTCTACACATCCGTGAGCCTAACATCCCTGAATCAAGCTTCTCTGGTTCCTGGGGGGCAGGGAGGTAGGGATGGTGATGAGTCCTCTGACTATATGAACTGGAAGGGACCTAGGGGTCTGCCTGCTCAGTAGCCAAGTTCCAATCAGTGTTCCTCCAACGTCATTCTTGACCTCTGCCTCCTGCAGCATCTTGCACTTTCAAGTCCAGAGCCTTTCTGGAGTTGTCCAGAATAATCTGACTTGGTGTTTACTTATACAGAAACATTTTGGCTTTCTGTGGCCTGTTAATGAAGTCATTCAACTCCATTCACTTTCTATCTTGCCTAATTTATTGTAGCCCTCAACTTCTTTTGTTTCGGAGAGTTTACCCTTTTTACTAGATAATTGCATTGCTATCATTTTAGTGAAATTTCAGGAAGGAAAAGGAAAATGGATGCATTTTTACATTTACCATGGCTTAACTGGAACTCTGAAAATGATCTATATATATATATTTTTTTTAAAGATTTATTTATGCATACAGAAACTGGGTACGTGCCAGAGGTGTGGCGGGGTGAGAGGATTCACCAGAGACAGAGTGGGGAACAGTCCCTGGCCGGCAAGGGATAGAACTCATGCTGTAGAGGCTGCTGCGGATTGCTTCATAGTGTGGTGCTTAACCCCTTGCGCCACCAGGGAGGCCCTAATCTATATCTTTAAATTAGATAATTCCAAGTTAGTCTTGTCAATTTTATAAGTTCTTTTTTACCAACAGGACATTATACCCGTTTTACTAATTGTTTTTGATTTTCGCCTGTTGCATAATCTTACAAAATAAGAGGGGCTTGTTTTTTGAGTCACAGGCAGAGATCAAACAATTCCTGGATTTCAAAGTAAGATGCTCAGAAAACCAAATAATTGTTCTGAGACTTCACATTTCGTTTTTCAATTTATCTGGCAGGCTAATCCAGACTGGAACACGTTTGCATTTCCAAACAGATGGGGAAGGCAGCTTTGGCAAAGAGGGCCCCCAAATGAGTTTGACTTTTAATAACAGGCCTTCCCACTTGTTTTCACAAAATCTTTTAGAGGAAGTGTGCTGTTGTTGCTGAGGACAATTAGAGCAGACTGTGCCATTGCCAGTTTACTTCGGCACAAAGCGGAGGGTTCTCTCTGACTAGCACTGAGCCAGGCTCACATTTCAGTTCAAGAAAGCCCATGTGATAATCAGCAAGTTGATGGGAAAAACAGACACCTACACAAATGACTCTGAAGCAAGACCACCAGCAGCTGGGTTATGGTGGAGGCATGAGCATGGGGTGGGTATGGGAGAAGAGTATTCTTTTAGATGTGGACAGGTCTGGAAGAATTTTTATAAGATATGGACTAGGAGATGGTTCTTGATGCAGGTAGGATTTGGACAGGGAGGTATTGGAGTGGGGAGTAAAGTTACATTTACTATGCACCTGCTATAAGAATCCTTTGCTTATGCCTCACAATTCTAGGAGACAGAATGCCCCCACACTCCATTTTTTTCAGATAGGGAAGGCAAGATCTTTCCAGAAAGGAGAAAGGATTTTGCCCTGGGCCACACAGTTGTTTACTAGTAGAGTCAGCCTTCCTCTGCTTCCAGAGTTCACACTTCTCCCTAAATTACCCATAATGGCTTAACTGTTACTACAGTAAAGGTGGTTTCAGTTCCCAAAGAGGGTATTTTCCCTGTAATGAAAAACAAGATCTGATGCCTTGAACCCCAGTCTTTCATGCCCCTGCACCTCGTTCCTGCTGTTACCTGTGCCTAGAAGATCCTTTTTTTGGAGCTGCTCTTGGATGCCCACTTCCTACTCTCCAGGACCCTGTCTGCCTCTTCTGCATCCGTAAGCCAGGATAAGTCACCATGCTTCTCATTCCTCTGGTGATGCCAGTTTGCAATCACTCTCACAGCCATCTTGTTGGCTCTGCAGTAGCCCTGCAGTCTGTTTATCCGGCTTATGTTGTGGATGCCAAGATGGGAACCAGAGAACAAAAAGACTTGCTTGCCATCACATCACCATGGGGACCCCATGATGCCCGGGGAGGCTGACCTGTGGTGAGAGGCGCTGTGTCCTCAGGAAGAAGCCAAGGAGGCAGCCCACGATGACAGATAGCACGGACAGGATGAGCAGTCCATTCCGCTTGCACACATCCCTCCCTCGTGTCAGAATGGTGCCCAGCACCATGGTGAGCCCAGCCTGCTGGCAGGGTGCGCAGCACCATCCCATGTACTGAGGCCAGTGGGGGCACAGGGTCTGGCCAGGGGTGGGCTTCTCAGCAGGCAGTTGGTTGGGGGTTCTGAGCACCAGTCGCCAGTCCCATGGCCTCCTCTGCTGCCCCAGAAGGAAGCCACAATCCTATTACCAGCTGCATCATTAAGAGCTGGGAGCAGATTAGGGCTTGAGAAATGAAAGTAGGTCATGTGGTCTGGAAGTTTGGGCCTGAAAGCCAAGAGTTCCTCTTAAACAAAGGAAGGGACTGGAGGCTGGTACAAGGGACAAAAGAACACTCATTTGGTTGGCTTGATTTTTACCCCTACATCATTCCAGAAAGAACTGAAGGGAAGGGGATGTAGTACTAGCAATCACTGGCATTAATTAAGCGTTTACTGTGTACCAGGTGCTGCTCTAGAGGCACTTACTTGTATTAGCTCATTAATGCCTAACTCCAACCCAAAGAAGGAAGTGCTGTGTAGTATTGCTTTAGGAAAGCAGAGAGGTTAGGTAGCTAGTTGTGTGGTGCCAAAGATCAGCTTTGCCTATGCTGATCACTGAGACTCTCTCCACAATTCCTGGGTTCCAATTTTCATTTTACTGATGAGACCGAGAATCCAGGAGCCAGAGGCCCTTGGCCAAGGTCACAGCAAGCAGGTAGCAGAGTAGAAATCAGGCTGATGGAGCCCCATGAACAGGCCTAGGGGTTCAAATGTTCTTGGCAGTATCGGGAAGAATGCAGGATTAAAATCCAGCATTGACCTGAGTTCAAACAAGGGCTCTGACACTCACTGTATCCTTCAGGACTTCCCTAAGCCTGAAGCTGGGGACTTGCAGGTTCACAGGGCTCATCATTTTCAGAGATGACAGAGCCCAAGGGGCCTATATTCAAGTCCTGGCTCTGCCACTTACTAGCTGTGTCCTCAGTTTCCCTCCCATAAAACAGACATAATAATAGAATCTACTTCATTAGGGCTGGCGTGACAGCCTATTCAGAGTATATTTGTGCAAATAGTGGTGAACTGTAACAGAGTGTGCTGAACACCCTGAACAGGGGAAGGGCTGTTAGGATCACCACCACACTTCATGTCTTTTGGAGAAAGATCTTTTCTTGTTGTTTTGCTATTTCATATGTGGCCTGGGCTGGCCTGTCCTGCCCTTTAAAGCCAGAGGGAATTACCTCTAGTCTGTTTCACCAGGAGTCTCTAATCTCATTAAGGGCAGTCAGGGGGCAGCAGGGAACACAGTCTGTAGGGATGGGGTGAGCATTGGGGATGCCTCCTCTGACAAAGGAAGGGGGTGGAGCATGGAGAGGACCATGCTAAGGAACTGCAGGGGGTACAAAGGGAGAGTGGGTGCAGGCCCTGAAGCCATGGACAGAACTCATGACTGGAAGGTACCCCTCATATTCTGGTCCCCATTTAGCCAGCTGTGTGACCTTGCTCTCTCTGGGCCTCAGTCTTGCCTACCTTTGAATAAGAAAATGGGGTCAAATGCTTTCTAAGTCCCCTCAATTCAACAAACCGACTTTCCAAAGGCCTTGCTGTTTGCCAGTTGCTTTGGGGGTGTGGGGTTGGAGTGATACAAATCTGAGATTTTTTTTTCCCTCCACTTTCAACTCTTAAAACCAAGAGTTTCCGATGTACCTTCTAACCGGACAAATACCTCGTTTTCCAAATTAACCAGGTGGTTTGGTTGCTGTCTAGAAGAGAAAATGTTCTGAGTAAATGTATGGATTTGGGTTCCGATCAATGTTCAGGCCTGAACTTTAGGAATGCCATGCAGTAGATGAGTATTGCTTTCTACTCCAATTCCAAGGTTGATGCCCACGGTGCCCCCACAACTGTCTTCCCACTCTGACACTCCCACCACCTGCCTCCCAGACTTGAAGCTTTCTATTGCTCCCACTGTCTTCATCAGGGAAAATTGCAACTCATTCAACCAAATGTTCTTATAGCACCATCTTGTGTCTTGTGTTCCCTTCCAAGTATTGGGAACAGAGCAATAATCAGACACAGTACCTGCCCTCAGGCTGCCTATAAGATAATTAAGGGACTCTAAGAAAAGAATTTATACTAAAGTGTAAATGACTAATAATGAGCTTACTAAGGATATTTGCAAGTTAAATCAAAGCCTCTTGGATAAGAAACGTTTAACAATGCTCCAGAACAGTGGAATTCAGTGAGCCCATACGCATATCGATACTTATACATTCTATGCTCCACTTACTTGAGACTTACTTGAGAGCAAGGAAAAGAACTCTGAGTATCCCTGTCTTTCCTTTTCCTTCTGTGTTGTTTTCAGTGTGAGTGGTTGGCTAATACAGGAAAGGTATACCAGCAAAAAAGGACCTAAGTTTCCTTGGTTATTTGCATAGCACGTATAGCTCCTTTCTGTGTTCAAAGCAGGTTTTGCTGGAAGAAAGCATGGTATCTTGTGGTTGTCAGCATTCTCACTTACTCAGCTGTAGACATAACACACACACCTTGTACTTGCTTATTGTCTTGCTGAACTTCCACACGTCACCAGGTTACTATTAATATGATGCTGAGCTCACGGAGCATCTATAGATGAAGTGGCAGATTTTTATATTGCATGTTTTCTGCTCACAGGCATGCTCCATTGCCCATCAAATATGTTTATAAAACACAAGTTCACAGATAAAACTATTGAATTGAGAGATGGTGACAGCAGCGCATCAAGACAAGTCTGGGACTCTCTGAGTGTGGGCTCTTGTGCAATTGCACAGGTCTGATGCCCCTGGAACCAGTCCTGTTTATAAGACTGGCTGGGTGAGGCATTTGCAGAGGCCAGGACAAGAGCAGAACTGAGCTGCAAGGGGCATCCGAACCAGGTGCTCAGTTAACAGAACTGGTGTCCCCTCCTCCCTCCTCAGTGCTCCCTTAACCCGGGACACACTTCAAAAATCATTCTCCCTTTGGCTGTTATTTTGCCACCTTTGTCTCCTTTATGATGTGGAATTTGCCTCCACCTCTCAACCTGCATGACACTAACCATGAGGACCCTCGTCTGGAGTTATCCCCCTCTGCCGCTTTCTGCACTACCTGTGTCCAGGCTCTCTGGCCATTAGATACCTACTTCCTTTGGGAAGCTGCTGAGGTCAGTGGTTAGAGGGGCACAGGCCAACTGCCTGCAGAACTGTAGTGCTGAGCTTCTGACTGTACCCAGTGCTTGTATAAATAAATAAATCTAAAAAAATAAAAAATAAAAAAATAACTGTAGTGCTGAGTGACGAGGAAAGACTGATCTTGGGCAGTTGGGACCACAGATGTCAGGGAATCAGATTAAGGAACTGAACAGAGAATGACTCAGCCTTGATTTCTGGAAAAAGTCGAGATGAGAGCAGGCCAACCCACTGGAGGCTCTGGCCACAGGGTGGACGGTTAGAAGGACAGAGATGTTCTTATTCTGACACTGAGATGCTCTCAGGGAAGCCACTTGTCTTCTCTGAGCCTTCATTTCCTCAACTCAAAGATTACTCCTGACTTCATGAGGGAACCAGGAGGCCATGAGACAGGAAAACCAACCACATGGTGGAGGATATGAACTTTGGTTTCAGCAGACCTGGATTTAAATCCTAGCCCTGCCATTAATGAGCTATGCTGGGCAGACTAACAGTGCAGAGCAGCTGTGATCCAGAAGTGGCAAGGCCCTCAGCCTGAGACTCTGCCACAGAGAGCTGGCTAAGGCCCAGGCTTCTGAGGAGAACAGGCACCCGGAAGACTCCAGCCCAAGGGACCAGCATGTACTGGAAGTTATGCTGTACGCAGGCCACCTTCTCCATGATTGATCAATTAGTAATTCATTGATCAGCTGGCCCCTGAATAATTTAGTGAGCACCATGGGGCACTGGTCTCTCTGCTTTCACACAGTTTAGATTTGAGTTGCAGACACCAAATGTACCAATCCACTTATGAATCTGCAAATAAGCTGCATTCCAGAATTTCACTTGTAAATCAGTGCCTGGTTCTCAGAATAACATGTTCTTTGGAGGGATATAAAAAAAGTTATACCCTCTACTGTATATTGCATTCCTGGCTCCATCCATAGAAAAATATTTAATCCATTATACATAGTGACATGTGCTTGTAATGAAAGCTTGTAGGAAAAGAACATATAGCTAAAAAAAAAACAACACTTTTTTTTTTTTTGCTCCTGACACAGAGTGGACATGGCATAAATATTTGCATACAAATATTGTAGACAAAAAACTTTCTCCTCAGTGGCCTGCTTCATGGCTCAGTTGTTTCCTTCTGAGAAGCCCTGCTGGGCCTTGTAACTGATTTTGGAAGAGTGACTAAATTCAGATTTTTAAGAGCTAAAGTTTTATGTAGAAAACAAATTCAAATGTTAAACAAACCACTCTCCATACGTGAAGTCAAAGTTCAAGTGACAAGCTGCAAAAAATTATTTGTTACTTGCATCAATCACAAAGGACTAATCCCCCTAGTATTAAAAACAAAACAAAACAAAACAAAACAAAAAACAACTTCCAGAAGTAGATGAGGAAACAATCATCAATCTTATAGAAAAGTGAACAAAAGACATGTACTGGCAAATCAGTTAAATGCAGATGGGCCTTCAACCTACTCAAAGATGGCCAACTTTATACAAAGGAAGAGAAATATAGATGAAAATACACTGGACGGTGTATTTTTTTTTTTAACCTAACGATTAGCAAAAAGCCAACATATTTGTCAGCTAGTTTGTCCTGGAACAAAATATTCTTCCCTGTTGTAGGTGACAAAGCACAAACCTCTGTGGGCAACAAGCACCATCTGTGAAAGTTCCCAATTCAATTACCCTTTGACCCTACATCTCACTTCTAGTAATTCATTCTAACGTGCACAAAGGTGAAATAACACACAACAAGGTAACCTTCACTGCACTAGTAGCCTCGAGTCATGGAGAAAGATGGAAATAACCCCCAGCCCGTAAGTTGGAGTTGGCTAACTGTTCTATGGGACGTCTAATGCACCATGTAAATGAAATGCCAGAAATATAGAAAATAACAGACATTGTACTTAAATAGAAAGATCTCTAGTATACATTAAGACATTGAATTAAGGTGCACACTAGTAATTA